ATTCATCCATAGTTACAAGAGTGTATGTCTTTCCACCAAGACTTACATTCATGGTCCACATAAATCCATGTGTAAAAGACGGAGAGGAGTTGCGAGGAAGAACAACTCTTGGACCTAAACTTGATTTGAGTGTTTCTTCTTTTCACAATATCTACACAATTTTTCTTTAAAAAGTATAAAGAAGGAAGTCCTTTCACAAGTCATTTTTGTGATAGTCTATTAATAGTTTTGAAATTTAAGGGGGACAGACTCTTACGCCACAACCAATTTTGTTTAGAAGATGCTTTAGAAAAGAATTAGACATTTGGAAGAGATGATGATCGAGCAAATGTCATGTCATTTGGAAGAGATGATGATCGAGCAAATGTCATGTCAATCACATAAAAATTGTCTTTGCGAAACCAGAAAGAATTTCTATGTTGTCTGGAGAAAGAATAGAACATTTTCCTTCATGAAATTTAATAAAAAAAACTTTGTCACGAAGTTGACTAATGCGTAAAAGAATATGTTTGAGTCCTTCCGCATAGACAACTTTGTTAAAGGTTACTGATCCATTAGTCAGAATACCATAGCTTAGAGTGACCCTTTTGAATTATCACCAAAAGTGACTAATGGTCTTTTTACTAACACAAAGTCTTTGAGCAGGGAGATATAACCAATCGCGTGCCTTGAATAACCATTGGCCAAGTACCATATTTGGGTTTTGACCTGGTCCTGTAACCAATCAGTTGATTAGTGTTTGAATACCCATTTAAACATGAGTCTTCCAATGTAAAAGTAAAGTAAGTTATGACTCAGGTTTCTAGCAGAAAAAGCATTTCCTATAAATAAAAAGAAGTTAAGAAATTTCCATTTCTTTTAGAAAAGATGGAGAGGTGTACCTGAGTATGACTCTTCAGACATGTGGAGACAGGCGTTGAACTTTCCAAAATCCTTTTGACAAAAACACTTAGTTCAGTGAGATAAGCCATAAAGTATATGTTTCTCTATTCTTCTTCCAATGTCTTTTCTAATGTCTTTTTGAGATCTTTCGAGACTTGTCCTTTAGTCATCATTTCTTACATGAACTTTGAATCTTTTCTTTTGTAAACTTTACTTATATGTTGATCTATTAAGTTTTTATCAAAAAGGAGAGACAAAGAAGATAACATTTGAAGAAAAGAGAGACTTCGATTTTCTAACATTACAACATTTTGTAAGAGGTACAAAATGTCCTCTGATCATGGGATGTGGTGTTAAACCTTCTAGATCTAAGAAAATATTTAAATGTTTTGACAGAAAATGTCATCCAATTTTTCAAAGAAGAGAAATTATCTTTTTGAAAATGAGAAAGTTTGGATAGAGAGCCATTGTCATTGGCTGTGGAAGTCATTTTCAAATCTTGTTTATGAGACTAAACAAACTGCTCCAATACCACTTGTTGGTCCTGGGAAGTGATGACTTACACAAATTGTTTTTGTAGATTGGGGGGTTTGAGTTTGGCTCCAAAGGTCAAAAGTGTCTGGAGGTCCCAGGTTCACATCTAAGAAGGAACAAAAATCCCCTTGTGACCACGGAGGTTCAAATGCGGTGACTCCAGGCTACCTGCAAAGCAGGTGGTCGCCCTGGGATTAGTCGGCTCGCATAGCGGGTTGGATATCCAGGTTAATAAAAAAAAAGAATTATAGATATATTACAGAAGATAGGAAGGTAAGACTTGTGATCTTAAACAATTTGACTAGTGACAAATTTGTTAACACTGAAGGACTGAGAGAATAATGTACTCTTTCAGATCCGAAAGACTAAGATAGTTCTTCAGATGTTGACTCCATTTTTGCCTAAGAAACTATTACATATAAGTTCTTAAAAATTAGGTTAGAAATAATAAATGACAAGGGTGACTTTTTATAATTGCATTAAATGCTACTGTCCAACATTAACGGGTGTTTTTATCTGATTTATTGATTCATGCATTTTTGTACTCTTCCTTTCAGCCTTTGTGGTTGAAGTCGACACTTGTTATCCTATTTCATCCTTTTTTATGTTGAGGGAACAGTAAAAGAAGTATGATACTAATAAAATAGTGTTAAGAACTTGCATTGGTTGACATGTTCATGTTCCCATACAAGGATAGTGTTGGAAGAGTTGGTGAGTCAAACTTACTAAACAAGTTTGCACTCCCAAATTCGGCTTGCCGGTAGTAGTATTTGTGAGATTACTATTTGACGTTATCTTGTATTGATTTTTTTTTTGCTAAATGACAAATCAATCCATTTTGGTGATGATCTTTACCGTACTTCAACTAGTCTTCAATTTTGTTGAACGCTTTTTGCTCTTGGATCAGTACATATAGTCACAAGACTTTTACAATTAAAAATCCTATCTTTTTCTATTCCGAAATATAAATTATATATCAGATTTCCATCTTTAGAACATTTATGAAGTTGATTCATCGGATTCTAAACTGACGTAGTATAAAAAGTGGGTTCTTGAAACTCAGGAGTAAATTATCAAGATGTATGTCAATCGGATTCTCCTAATCGGATGGATAATATTCAAGACAAAAGATTTGAACTCACAATTTATATAAGTTGAGGATCTGTTCAACATCCAGAACCTTAAGCTTAAGGTTCATATGCTAATCCTTTGGTGCTATAATCGATGTGGTTCATCGGATGTTCTTATTAAAAGACAAATGTATAAGAGTTTCTTTCTAAATATTTGACGGATGCTAACTGTATTATTTATAAATGTGACGGTTGAGACCAACAAATATTTATGTATAATTCATAATTAAACTTACTTAGTAATTTGCAATCAATATTAATTACTATTTATCAATATTTAATAGTAATAATAAACAACTATTAATATTAATTAGGGTTATAATTCGAAATAATGTCAAAAACTCTTAAAATGCTACTCCAAGTTTCATTTCAATAAGTTAGCTTATAAGTTACTTTTTACACCTTCAAAAAAAAACTTTTGAAATAAAATTGAAAAATATATTAGCTTATATTTGTCAAACAAAGATTAAGTGTGTGAATGTGGTCCCCTCCTCTTCTTTTATACCCTTTTCTCTCCCTTGTAGCCATTGGACACCAATCACAGCAATATCAAAGAGTTAGGAGCCGTTTACCAAAAACTTACTCGATAAATGCTTATAGGTAAAATTCAACAATATTATTTACTACCAGGTAAGATTTTAGTCAACCAAAACAGCACCATAAAAAATAATTTACCCGATAAGTTCTTACCGTGATAAGAGTTGTTGCCTTCACTTACTGGGTAAGACTCTTGTTTCTTGTTTTGCTCTTACCGGGTAAGATTCTTGGTCATTGTCATATTCATCCGGTAAGGTAATATGACTTGGTAAACGCTTACCGGGTAAACGTCTAGTAAACGGCCCCTTAGTTCGTCATGATCATGGGGGAAGATTCACTGCTTGACTTGTTCATTCTGGCGTTGACACTCCAAGTGTTGATGTCGTCAACATATTGTTGTCGTCGCGAATTCTCAAACGTTGTTTCCATTTCATGTTGCCTGACTAGTTCTAGATCTGAAAAGTCAAATAAGATTTCATAGTAACAACTTAATTATTATTTTCTTCGTTCTAAAATAAGTGTCTATATTTTAATTTGTTTTTGTCCCAAAAACAATGTCAAGTTCTAAAAATAGATAACAGAACTCTCAAATATACAAGACTTGATATATTGTTTATATATGTACTATATTATAAAGTATTTGGGTTAAACTCTTAAAAATTATTTTTAATGCATCAGGTACTGATTAATTATGCATATTATTTGAAATTCAAGATTACAAGTAAATGGTGTATGAGTATAACCTTTTAAAGTATATGTTTGAATTTATATAACTAATTGATAAAAAAAATAATCAAATATGGGATAAACATCTAATTTTAAATATAAAGAAATCTAAAATATAATTAGAATAATCATTAAGTTCTACCAGAATACTTAATTATTATCTTTATAAAAAACTATATTATCATATCACCAATAAATTACTTCTTACTTCTTTATTATACCCGAGTTATTATAATATAAAAAAAAGTATATTATTAAATCTAAAATAAATTATTTCGTTATTGTATCTAAATTAATTTACAATTAACAATTGATCGAAGAAAACCATACAAAAAAGAGAAGTATAATAATTGTTAATTGATATTAGTATTGACATTTTTTTCAAATTTTGATGGAATCTTCAAATTTATATTTTATCACTACAATAAAATTGGATTTATAAAAAAAATGTCTTATAAAGCAAATGTCCTATATTTTATCAAATTTTTGATGGGATATTCAAATTTATATTTTATGAAAAGGTGTCTTATAAAAACAAGTATCCTATAAAAAGATGGATTTATAGGACATTTTTAAAAAGTTTCATATAAAATAGCTAATGGGCCGCTTTGTGCTAAAAATGTCTTAAAAAACTTGTTACGACGTCCAAAAGCATCTTATGAACTTATTAAAACGCCTTTAGATATGACCATTTATGTTTTGGTTTTATAAATTAAATCATATAAAACAGTCTACTAGAAAGTTTTGAAATTGGTGACGTCCTATAAACTTAATTTTGTTGTTATTTATTCAAATATAAAAACATTTACTTAATTGTTTTTTCAAAACCATACAAAACTATAATATAAAATAGGTAGAGACAAAAATAAAAGAAAAAACTAAAATCATAACGTTTCTCGATACATTGTGCAAATACACTTTTAATTCTCTTTGATAAGTTTAATTATACATTTTATTTTCTTAAATTAAATATAATAAAAAATTATTTAACTACCAATTTAAAACTTGAAGTAAATGTTAATAAAAAGTTATTATTGTTGGACAGCAAACCTTCCTTAATCTTTACTTGAATATCCCACTTGCCCAATATTAAATTGTTATTCACAATCTCGAGCCCTCTACTTACATGCACTTCCATATCCATACTCCACGTTAAAGCAACCATTCACCACCACAACGCCAAACCCAAAAATGGATCCACCACCCTCCACCACCGCCCTCCACCACCATTACCAAGATTCACTAGAAACCTCCTCCGTCTCCTCCCCCACTTGCCGCCAATGGGACGATACTCTACCGCCACCCAAACTCCGGATGATGTGCAGCTATGGTGGACACATTATCCCACGTCCCCACGATAAATCCCTTTGTTACATGGGTGGTGAAACCCGCATTGTTGTCGCCGATCGTCATACGTCTCTCGCCGATCTCTGTTCACGACTCTCCGGCAGCCTCCTCCATGGCCGCCAGTTCAGTCTCAAGTACCAACTCCCAAGTGAAGACCTTGATTCTCTTGTATCGGTGACCACCGATGAAGATCTTGATAATATGGTGGAAGAATACGATCGATTGAACTCATCTAATCCGTCGTCAAGACCCTTGCGATTGCGTTTGTTCCTTTTTCTATCGAGACCTGAAACGGCAGCTTCAATGGGATCGTTGCTCGATGATGCTAAATCGGAAACCTGGTTCGTCGACGCACTGAACGGCGCTGGATTGCTTCCCAGAGGATTGTCGGATTCCGCCGTGATTGATAACCTGCTTGAACCAAAAGATGGAGAGATTCAAGAGGATAGAGAGAATTATACGGAATCAAAGATGGTGAAGGGTTTGGTACACGATGTGTTGCAGTCTAGCTTGCCAGATTCTCCAATGATGGAATCAACGTCGTCGTTTGGATCGAGCTCTTCGTCTCCTTCAATGGCGAATTTGCCTCCGATCAAAGTTAGGGTGGATCATATGAATCAGATGGCCGGACTTGACGAGCAGTTGTCTCAGTTGAATGTGAATCATGTTCCTCCGCCACAACTTCCTGTAAATAACGTCGGTGGTTGGGCGGCTTCCGATGATGAGAGATCCGATCAGGGAGCACCGACTAATGGCCTGAGGAAGCCACCGTTGCCGCTTCAGCCTGTGCAAAGAAAGTTCGGCGGCCATGACGCTTACAGTTTGCCGTCGCCGGATTCCAAGCACGGTGGCGCGTACGCTTTACACTCACCGGATTCCATCGCCAGGTACACCCCACTTCCATTTTTTATACGAATATAAAAGTGATCGCTGATCGGATTCTTATTACATTTTCCGATCAAATTTTTTTACAGTGATAGCAGCATCGCGTCGGCAAATTGTCACTCGAAGCCAACATTCGCTCAAGATCCAAACCCATCATCCAACAGAGACACCGCAACTCCACCGGCAGCCACTCAAATGTACACCACCACCACCGCCATGAACTACCAAATCCCAACACAACAGATTCCTGCCTTCGGCGACATACGACCACCACCGCCACAACTTAACCAAGATCAACAACAACAGTTCTATCATATCCAACCACATTACATCCACCAGCCTCCAACAAACCAGCCATCACCCGTCTCATCTTACTATCCCGTTTACGCGACACCACCACCACCACAAATGGACCACCAACAATACCCACTATACTATCTTCCGGTGTCGCAGAACCACCCATATAGTATGCAAATGCAGTCCAACCCACCCGATACAACCGCCAATCCGACCACCGTTACATCATCCGCCACCACCCCACCGCTTTATCCGACGAAAGCCACCATCCCACTGAACAAATCCGACGTGGTTACAAATTCTCTATACGGGACGACGAATCCAGGCATGATTCAAGTTCCAAATAATCAATTTCAACAGCAATATGTGAATCTTTCTCAGATCCCTCAATCTCATCATCCTCCGACGCCCATGCCGATTACATCCAACGGTGGAAATTACGGGTACGAGTATGCCCATCCGACCCAAGACCAGGTTTATTACTCACCTTCACAGTATCAAACCATGACTCCGGCATCTGCGATGTTGTTAGCACAGGCGTCGTCGGCTCAGCAACCGGCACCGGAAAGTGGCAAATAGTGTCCATTATTGTTGCACGTTACACATCTGTATTTTATTGGGTTTTGGGACGATGTTTAATAACCTAAAGTATTGTTTTGGGGCAATTGCATTTCTATTCATGTATAAGATAATAAATCATGATAATTTCATAAGTGTAAGAAATGGAACCATTTTACATTGGTATTTTAGGAATTTTTTTTTATTAACCTAGATATCCAACCCGTTATGGGAGCCGACTAATTTCAGGATGACTACCTGTTTTGCAGATAGCCCGGAGTTATCGTATTTGAAGCTCCGTGGCCACAAGATGATTTTTATATATTACCCATTGGATTTGAACTTGAAACCGTACTTTTAACCTTTCGAGTCAAGCTCAAACTAATCAAATATCACCCTTATGGTTTGTTTTAAGAAGTTGGTTTCATATGAAACCAGTTAAGGTTACGAATAACCCATTGTGTCTAAATAACTTCAAGTTTAAATATATAATGTGTAGAATTTACAAGATTAATAATATATATAAATTTCTATATAATTGATTTTATGATTTAACAAAAAATCCATCAAAAATCAAATCAATTATAAAATATATATTTGATTTGTTAAGTGGTAAGATCATTCAGACTGTTTGTTTTTTTCAATTTTTCAGAGGTATTTATGTCTTAATTTGGTAAGAGATAAAACAACCTCTTATTTACCTCTTAATGTTCTTCAAACTCTCAACAATGGCGTTTCTCAATCGTTTAATCTTAATACATCATTTCTCAATCGATCCTTACCAAATCAATATTTGTCTCTCGCAATTGATGTATTTTAATAGGATTTAAATGTGTTAAATACAATTATTGATATATGTTTTTAAATGAATGCTAATTATATGATTTAGATGTAAATTTCGTAATGATGATGAATGAGCTTAGAGCTATGTCCTCTTCTAGATCTGTTTTCTATCTTCTAATTCAGATTTGTGTCCTTCCAGATTTGTCCCCATTATTTGTTTCATGTTAGATTTGTCATGTATTTATCCTGGACTTGCGTTATCTATGTACTTTTGATTGTTTCATGTTCAGATCTATGTCCTGTTCCAGATTTGTTTTATATTCTTTTTTATCCAGATTTGTCTCTGTTGGTTATTGGATGATTAGTTTGTTAAGGTGTTCATCCTGGATCTATCTCCCTATAGGTTGCCCTATATTTTCTTTTAACCAAAGTTAAAAGGTGTTGTGGTAAGGTTCTGGTGTGTAAGTTTTTCCCTTCTTTTCTCTTATGTATTGGTCATTGTGACCTTATTTCTTACTACTTGATCCTCAGCATAGCTCTACTTTGTAAGTTGTTTTCTCTTGTTCTCTTTCTCTATTTTGTTGCTCTGTGTGGCCCCTTTTTTGTTCCTTGTAAGTTTTCTTTTGGTAACTGAATAGTTAGTGATGTATGTTGAGAATACAACATATTAAACACTCGTTTTACGTTTTATTTGTTAAAATAGTTTCCTTTCATTCCCACTTTGAGTCATTTTTATTAATTTCTTTATACATTTGTTATTATGGAGCTAAATATTGTGGTTGACTTGTTGGTACTCAAGGAAGAAGCTGATGGAGAGTTTTTGATAAACAGCAGGATGCTACAGCATTGGAGCAGCARCGATCTGATATATGCGCAGCTTTTTGGAGAACTTATTGATTAAGCTGCTTCCTTTTTGAGCTTTGTGGAAGACAGCTGGAAATTGCTAGAATCTAAGATTAAAACTCTTGTTAGGAATATATACTTTCTAGTTCCTCTAATTGTACTTTGTAACTAGTTTTAGGAAGCTTAGCCTCCAAGATTTGTCGTTTTGTCTTTTAGTGTCTCTTTTGGGTATAAAAGGAGGGCTTGGAGTTCCATTTTGATCATCCATTCTAACACCATCTAATGTTAAAATCAACCCTCTCCAAGGGTGATTTATAGTAATATTTTGAGCAATTCAAGTTCTTCATCTTTTTCTTCTTTAATTTCTCGTCTTTTAATTTCCGCTCTTTATTTTTACGTTCCTTTACGTTTATTGTTATTTACATTCCGTTATTTAATTTCCGCAATTTACATTCTCGTCATTTACATTATCGTCATTTACTTTCTCGTTATTTATTTTCTCGTCATTTATTTTACGCAATTTACGTTTATGTCTTTATTTTTCGTTATTTATTTTTCTTGTACTTTACTTTCCGTTATAAGTAGCTAAGCTTTTATAGCTTGGGGGTGAGATGGAAAGGTGAGATTTTCAAACCAAACGAAAGTAGCTAAGTGTTTTTGTAAACGACGTTCCATTGTTTCATTCAAGTTTTTATAAAAACCAAGCACATTTCTTGACGGGTTGCTCACTTTGAAAGTGTTAAAATGCCATGGACTTAGAGATAAGCCATTGAATGCACGTCAACTTGAATGACATAAGAGGTAGACTTGAGAAAGTTGCCGACAAGGAGACTTGTCATTTATGTTTTTCAAACTTAACTCCCGACGGGTTGGTCACTCTTTGAAAATGTCAAAGTGTGATAGATTCAGAGATGAACTATCTAGAACATACGCCAACTCAAATAATATGGGAATCGACTCGAGAGAGTGATTTTTAACAAAGAGATTTGTTTATCCATATATTTTGAAAACACCATTGTGTCACTATCCCTGGTCCAGACACCACATAGAGATATGGGTGGAAAGCTATAATATAGTGCAATGGTGAAGTCCGAGAGGAATGCCTTCAAAATAGATGGTGAAACTTAGTTTCGAAACACTGCTTGCTGTAGCATTCCTACAGCATTGACTACTGGAATTTGTGTTTAGGTCTCATCTTAAGTCTTACACCCTTGCTACCTTTATATATTTTGTATTCTGTTTTAATTCACCTTAATATCAAACAAAAGTTTTCAAAATCGTCATCTGAAATCACCACTTTCATTGGACTCTTATTTAACTTTAACTACAATCTTCGTGGACGATAATCCGGTACTTGTACCACTTTATTACTTGTAAAGACGACATTGGACCGTATTGTATACTTGTTTTGTAACCCAATTTCATTAATCTAAAGGTGTGAGATATAACCAACCAAGTTTTTGGCGCCGCTGCCGGGGATTGGCAAAGCTAAAAGTTTTATTTTGATTAAAGTAAAAGATTTGATTTTTCTAGTACCATTTGAATCGTTTTTAAAAGTGGTGTATGCCACGGTCAATACGCAGGGAATTTTTCGAATTTGATCTCGATATTGAGAGAACATTTCACCATAGGAGGAGGCCTCAAAGGGCATTTTTTGCTCTACTTCCTCCAAACATGGCGTTACCTCCCCCAATCATTCCGGAAATACCGCATTTGGAAAACCAACTGCCGGTTTTTGCACCAATACCACAATTCCTAAACTTTCAATAAGGACACCCACATAATGATAATGATAATAATTTGGACATAGAATCGGAACATAATGATCAACAAATAGCACAAACTCCGAACATCATTAATTTGGCAAATTCCAAAAATGGAAGGATCATGGATTATGCTATTCTGGATTTTGAGCAATTAAATTCCGGGATAGTTAGACCATATATGATCGCTCTCCATTTCGAACTAAAATCGATAATGTTTCACATGTTGCAAACGAATGGCCAATTCGCCGGATTACCTTCGGAGGACCCACATTCGCACTTAAAATCTTTTATGGAAATCACTTATGCTTTCCTGATCCCGAGAGTGTCCAATGACGCTCTCAGACTCGCTTTATTTCCATTTTTATTGAGGGATCGGGCAAAAGCATGGTTTAACTCTTTAACACCGGGTTCTGTGCCGTCATTGAGTAACATGGCAAAAAAAATTGTGAAAATATTTCCCACCAACAAGGAACGCTAAGTCCAGGAATGAGATCTGTCTTTTCAAACAAATGGACGATGAGGCTGCTCCTGATGCTTGGGAACGCTTCAAAGAGCTGTTGAGGAAATGCCCACACCATGGCATTCCGTACTCTATTCAACTTGAGATGTTTTACAATGGGTTAAATTCCATGGCAAAACAAATGCTCGATGCGACTGCAGGCTGAGCCTTCACAGCCATGACCTATGATGAAGGATATGAAATCCTAGAAAAGATATCAGCAAACAATGAGCATTGGGCCGACCCACGTGCTTAATCACAGAAAAAGACTGTTGGGATACATGATGTAGATGCATATACTGCATTGACAGCTCCGCTCATCTCCATGACCAACATGCTGAAAAATCTAACTTCTGGTTAGGGAGTGCAGCAAGCTGCTAATACACCTGTTCCAACAGTCCTCTCTGTGCAATGTGTGTGTTGTGGTGGGGAACACTCGTATTAACATTGTCCTCACAATTCTGAATCCATAAACTTTGTTCATAATGGATTTGGTCCTTATACCAACAATTACAATGGAAGTTGGAAACAGCATCCGAATTTTTCTTGGACCAGTCCATGTTTAAATCCACCCGCACCTAAGCAGAAAGGAACCTCTAATTTTCAACCCCAACAACATGCGAGTAGTTTCCAAAATCATCACCAAAATTTTCAAACTGCTCAACAACCTTTTCAAAACAAGCCACCTCCACAGGCTGATTTATCATCTTCTTTGGAAGCAATGATAAAAGGGTTATTTGCGCATGCTCAAGCTCAAAATCAAGCTTTGATAACCCAACAAAMCTCTCAAAATCAATCTCTTTTTAATCAACAAAGTGCTGCTATCAAAAATCTGGAAACCCAAGTCAGTCAACTTGCACTCAATCAGACCAATAGAGTCTTTGGTACTTTGCCTAGTAACACAGAAGTCCCGATAGCCTTAGGAAAGGAACATGTGAACGCAGTGACTCTTTGGAGTGGGAAGGAGTTGACTGAAAAGGTGCAAAAATCTAGTGCACCAAGTTTGTCAAAAACTGATGCTACAACATTGGTACCTGCCAAAGAAAGACCGGTCCAACCTTTAGAGAAGCAAGCATCTGAGACCACCACTTTTGTTCCCCCAAGATCATACTATCCCTTACTGTTTTCAG